GCGGGAGGGTGCGCCGGGGGCTCCGCGGGAGGGAGAGCCTTGGCCGGGCGGCGGCGTCCTCGCCATCCCGTTGCCGGTTCCCCGTCGCTGGAGGGAGCGGGGAGCGGGGACGGGGGGGGGCGGCCGCCTCTCGCCAAAGTGACAGCACGGGCTGGTCCGAGAGAGGAGTTTAAACCTCCGCCTCGGCGGACGCATCGGGAAGACCAAGGTCCTACCTGGCTTTATGCCGACGCTGTTTTCATACGAGGTAAATCGCGTTAGCAAGCTGCGCCGTCAGTAGTCTGTAGGCGCAGCTCGCCAAGGCTGGCATTCCCCTCTTTATGGCACTCGATCTACGGAGGTTAGGTGACAGAAGGAAAAAGCACAACGATGCCTTGCTGTGAACGCGACCTGCTCGCCTAGCGGCTCCTTCTTCCTGTTTTCCCCCCAAATCTTGGGATAACGAGGTTTGCAAGTTAGCGCTGGTGCTTGAGGACATCTGTGAACCCAGCCAAGAGATGGGTGCTTCCCCCACATGCACTCCTCGCTGAACTCCCAGTGACTTCAGTGGAAGTTTTCAGTGCGTAAGGGCTGAACAGCAATTTCAGCATCCAGCCCTTGCGCAGTTGATCAGCCTTACATTTCATCGGTGTTGGCGTTAAATATATTTATGTAGTTTGGTTTCGAATGACTTCACATTTTCTCCTACATCAGTCTGGTATTATTATCTCCTACCTAAATACAAATTATGTCCTATCTATTTCTATACTAAGCATAATTGTTGCAATGAAAATAAAAATTCCCTTCTTTGTTGCCCTTCCTTTCACATATTTTGTAGTATCACAAGGTCACAGCAAGGAAGTCGATCATTAATATTAATAATTTTGTTCTTGTGGAAGTTGCTTTTGGGTCGGTTTGGGTTTTTTCATTAATTTACTTTCAGATCCCTTGAAGAGGATTGCTATCTTTCTCTTCCAACAATAGCCCTAGAAGGTGTGTGCGAAAAAGATTTGAACAATGTGATAATTATACATATTGGTATAAAATATCACATAAAGAGCATATGGAGGCACCAAGATCCATATTGATCATTTATGCATTAAAAAAAATGCAGCTTCCAAAGCTGTGTTCCAAGTCAAATGTTGTACTCCTTCAAGAAGGTAGAATGATGTTATGCATCACAGATGTTTCCCTGGAAAGAATACCAGGCAGCTGATGCCACGGAGGAGAAAACAGATAACTAGACACAGATGAAAAAAAATCCAGAAGACTTCACACCCTTTAACTGGTCTCAGTTTGCGAAAGGGTCCCACAGTTGCTTCTTTGATTTAGCCCATCGTATTTATAGCTTTTTTCAGAATTCTTCAGTCTGGTTCCCAAAATACGTTGTGAGGACTTGGTCTAATACATTACAGTGAAGAAGAACGCGGCATTTTATTGCTAAGAACCCAATCTTGCACTTACTAAAGTAAATTCCAGAATCCCTTTTAAGTTCAGCACTAATGTGATTTAAGTAAAAAAACACCAAAAATACTACATGGTTTGGGTTTAGCTGTGTTTCTTCAGTCTTTTCAGAATGCTGCTTTTTTTTCCCCCAGAAAAAGGAAACCCAGGTTAGCCCCAGTTAAGAGGGAGGACATTGCTACTGAACAATAGCCAATACTCTAATTGAAAGGTCATCTGCTTCTATTGCACTCAGTGGTAAACTCTCAGTGACATCAACAGGACAAACATCTGTCAAAAAGCCTTTGGGGAGGCAATACAAAAGAATCAGAGAGTGAGATGGCTTAAGGTGAAACATGGAAATAAATCAAGCCATCTGCCCAGAAACAAACATTATTGTAACATTAGTCCGAAAGTATGTTCCTTTCCTACAAGGAGCAAGGAAATGCAAGTAAGGCAATGTTATGATGCAGTTTATAGCCAGAGAAGAGAATATTCAGAGACTATTCAGAGATAAACTCACTGCATCTGTTGCTTTAGTACATGTGCTGAGGAAGCCCATGCTCAGTTATTAGGCACCTGCAATAACTAAATACACCGCCATGTTCAAAGCCTTAACTGTAAATCTCCTGGCTATTCTACCTTAAATATTAAGACTTAACTGCAAAATTAATTGGCTAAATTTTGTGCATGTGTGTCCATTACACTGCTTTAAACATTAATGATGAAAAATTAAAAAAAAAAGTGCATTTGCAATTATACTATGTGGTACCAGTTCAAAAATCAGTTTTATAGTTTAAAATAATAGATTTTGGTGTTTCATTTCCTTCTTTCTAAAATGAGAGGCATCTGGGTAATATTATTTATTCATGCCTTGAAAGCAAGTAAACCAAATACAAATATATATAAATTAGCATGATTAACCAAGGAAATCATAGAGGAAAACAAATGAGTACGAGAGTACTCTGTACAAAGAGCCAGCAAAGTCTAGCAGAATTTAGTATTTTAGTTACTGCTAATACCAACTTACCTGTAATGTACTCATGCTTCAAAAAATAGGCCTACCTCAGTACCTAGATGCAACTGCTGCCACACAATGTTTACGTGGCATGTAGTTACAGTATTCTGCATGATACGTTGTTCATGCTATGTTGTTACATACCTAATTTAAAGCTCTGAGTGAAGTGGGTTAACTATTTTTCTTTAATTTACAAAGGGGAAACAATACAAGAGAGGGTAAGTGTCTTTGCCAGAGGTCACACTACCAATTGGTGGCAGAACTGGAAATAAAAGACACATCTCCAGAGTGGTCAGACTGTAGAGTCTTTCCATTTAAATTACTCTTATCACAGGGTAGTTCCACTAATGCCAATCAAATAGTGCTTCACTAAACTTTTGTGAGGGAAGAATCAAGCCTCAGGCCCACAGTCTAACCACTAGATTATTCTCTCTACCTGTTATACTATAGGCCAGGCAGCTGATGGAAGGTCCTTGGGGGTTTTGGTTTTTTAATAGCATAGGGTTAAAGAAAATAATATGATAAAAAATTAAACATGAATATCTACATTTTCCTTCTAGGAAGCAGCTCTTCTCGAACTATTCTTGTTACAGCTGCACAGCCTGAGACCCCTCATTTTCTGCAGCTCTGTACCACATAAGACAACTGCAGTCCTTTAGAGCCCATTACATTCCTAATGCTTCAGTTTATTCTTTCAGAGCTTTAAACCATTAATCATTGACATGATGAATCTCACTGCTGCAGAGGAACCAATTCAGCACATTACACACCCAATATATACAATATTTATGAAACTTCTAATACAAGGATCCTTGAGTATGCAATACTGCTATCTGCTAAAGTTCTCAAGATAGCTCTTAAAAAGTAGTTCTGATGGATGCACCTTTTTTTCAAAGTTAAAATACCGGGAGATAATACTTACAATTTTAGACTAAGAGCAGTGCTCACGAAAGTGATGGGCAACAGCATTCATTGATTGCAGTGAGTGTCATCCATAGTTTTGCTGAAGTCAACACTACTAATTTCTTTGATTTTAGCCAGGCCTGATCCTGGAAGGGAAGAAAGGTTTCCATTGATTTGAGTGGGTGTTTAGATTTGACCTATACTACAGGTAGCTTTTTACAAGTACCTCATGCAAACCAATTAATTAGTTTCATTCTGAAACAGGGATAGACTCTTCTACATGTGTTATGAATCATCCACTAGTGTTCTGAAATACTGCGAGTTATAATGTGGCTACATTGGATACACAGCGTGTATCAATGGGACACCCTCACACTTCATGTAAATTTGGACTTACCTAATTGACTCCAAGGCAACAGAGAGGAATTATCCGTGCAGGGCCTTTCTGTGGCACTATCCCATGTTGGAACACCTTGGAAATGAAAGCAGAAATAAAAGTGTTGTTTGTACAGATTTCCAGAATTCAAAATACTTCTTTTGCTTTGCTTTAAATCTGTGATTTCAGAGCACCCAGCACCAGGGTGAAAAGTACAGGCAACTTCTACTTCTGATCCCACTTTTCCAAATCTACATTTATGGCCAAATTACAAACCTTTGGATGCAGGTGTTTACGAAGAAACTACTGGCACACCTTTAGCCAACACCATAAAGCCCACTGCTGCAGCACTTACACGTACAGCAGAAGTGGAAGTGATTCCCATTCTATTTGCAATTCAACCACACACAGTAACAATGCTTGTTCTCAGTGAAATGTAGAAAATAAAACAGGGTGTGAAGTTACCCAGCATTTCTGGCTGTGAGAATGGTATAGGAAAAGAGTCCAAGCACAGCAGCACAATTCCTTTGAAGCTCTTCTGCTTTTTGGAGTTAATTAAAAGTTGGCTGAGAGGTTTTCCTCTCCCTTTTTTCTTGTGTGTCTCATCTTGAGCCTATATGGCAGGTGTTGCAGAGCAAGTCTCAGCAGCACCCACTGGATACCCTTACTTCCTTGCATTTGCAAGTATAACTTAATCTCGAAAGACTCTGACTTGGGCAGATACCAGGGCAACTAAAATTACCAGGCTGTATGTAAACAACATGAATTGACCGTCAGTAACCTTGCCTAGAACATAATTAGAGGAAACACATACATATTTTTTGACTTTATATAAACGAAGGAGTTTCTGTCAAGACAATAGATTTGTATTCTTCAATATAGGGCTGAATTAAGTCTGTTGTAAGACCGCAGCATGTGTCCTAGAGCTGCCTAGTAGGCCCGCTTTGTGGTCCTGTGTCCTTGTTTCTAACCCTCGTGGGGTCAGTTCACTTCTCATCCTTCCTCTTCCTGAGCGGTGCTGAGGAGGGCATTGAGACCCAGGGGCAGGATCCCCGTACACATGGTCCCTGCTGTTGAGCTCGGTGTTGAGGCAGTGAAGTACTTTAATAAGTACTTTGGGCAGAGGCTTGACACTGTATTGACTTGGTGGAGAGGGGAGAGAGGGTGAGTTTCCCAGAGCATTGCATAAAAGCCAGAGCACATACTACTGCATTAGCTCTACTCCCAATGTGTTTAGTTTTCTTCAGCAACTAAGAGAGCTAAAAACTTACAGCTTAAAAAATTGAGATGCTACCGTATCTACCACTCCAGAAACCTAGAGCCCCCAATGCATATGCTTAAGCCAGACCTGTTTTCTAAGAAGTAATTCAGACGCTCTTCTCCAGAGCTTCTTGTGTCCTAGGGGGAACAGAGAAGGGAGCCCCTTGGGCACACTTGTTGAGATGCAGTATGGGCTTGAGGCGTTAAAATGTAACAGTAGAAGACTTAACCAGTGAAATTAAGAATTAACCAGTATCCTTTTCGTCATGCTAAATACTAGGTTTTTTGCTGCCTATGAAGTGAAAGAGTGTTTCCAGGTCATTTTAACAATGCAAACACTGACTGTCTTGCAATTAGGATATTAACACATTCTTAATAACAAAGATTGACTCATGAGTAATAAAGAGATACGTGGTCATACAGCATAAATGTACATGATGGCAGATAATGTTGGTCATCTTGCAATTCCCTATGATCAATTTACACATGAACCACAGATCTGTTTCATTATGAAGTAAGAGTTTTATCTATTGGAAAGAAAAAATAAGTTACTGAAATGAAAGTCTATATTTTAAAGTTCTGTTATGTTTTATGATGTATTCATGTTACTGTAACTAATATATCTCTAGATCCAGTGAAGTAACTACTGGGGTCTGAATACCACAACATTTTGAGTAAACAACAGAGAAATAATTTTCTTATTAGTGTGCTCTTTGATTTGTTTGCTACATAATTATGACTTGTCATATGATATAGGTTGATACATACTTCAAAGTGCATATGAAACAAACAATGCTGTATCATTTTACTCTTGTCAGATACCGTGCTGAAATACTGAGCTAGAAACACTTAGACTGGACTTGGAAAAATATGTTAGTGATATTAATTTCAGAGGATTTTCAATTCATGCTTTTCTTTTAAAAAAATGGTTTTACTTATTGTTTTCCTTGAGGAGAGAATGCCTGATTTTGCCCTGGATGGTTTAGGTTAATCACAGCTGTAGATATCAATACCGTCCTATGAGGAAAGTAGTCAGTCAATGCAGACAGCATGTTAGAACTGTTATACCATCTATTCGGTTAACTCTATTAAACAGCAAGCATAATAAAAGGTTTAATATTAGTTACATGTAAAAACAGGCTTTCCTTTTATTTCTTTCTAGATTGACTTCTCAGGTGAAAATCAAGAACATTTTAAATTTGTTACAAAATTACCTTTAACAATCATCTTAGGTGTTTTCTCTTCTATATGACAGAAGCTGGCTCTTTATCGTATTTTCTTCTGAGATGAACAAAGGTCTGTTATGAATGCTACTACCCTTCATAAAACATTGGTGTTCCTATACACAGCTGTAAATCTACAGGAAAAAGGCAAACCAAAGTATTTTGTTGAGATATTAGATGAATTTTTAAAAAATCCCTCATTTATTGTTTTCATCTATGTCTTTTCCCACAGGCACATGGAAATAAGGCACTGTCCCTTCCAGTCATTTTCCCTTCCTTACCAACTGATACCAGTAGTGTGTTTTCCCCCTTCAACAGGGACCAGACATCACTCAGGGTTCTTTAGGGGAGTGGGTGGCAAGGGAAAGGCTGTTTTCTTTGTTTAATGGTACGTGTCCACAGTGAGAACTCTGTGCTTTTCAAACTTCTTTCCTGAGGCTTCTACCAAAGATGCAAAGGATTTCAGACTTGTTTCCATTTTTAATTGTTGGGAAAGGAGTTTCTGATGTGGAAAAGTTATCTCTTGTGCTGTCTTTTGCTCTGTGTACGTGGATAAATTCTTCTGACTGTTGCCACTGGGAATTCTGTAAATACAGAAAAAGGAGTGAGCCAAATTCTGCCATGGAGACCTTAGAGGAGAATTTTATTCTTCAAGTACTCCCTTATTCAAATATTTGAATAGAAATATTGTGTAGTGTGTACTCAGGAAACACTGTATTGATTTCAGTAGGTGTCATGCAGGACTGTAAGCAATCATGTACAAAAATAAACTTATTTTTGGAGATGACATCTTCAAAATTGCTTTCTGGTATGTCAGGAATCGCTTTGCTATGACTGCAGTTGATGTTTCAAGTGAAAATAATAGTCTACACAAAAGTCTGGTGAAGAGCAGAAATAAACAAAATTCCAGACTCTGTCTGTATGTGACAGAAAAACACAAAGAGAAAAATTATAAAGACAGATAAGCAATGTGCAACATGTCTACAGTATTGTTATAATTAACTCATTAATAATCCTCTATTTGGAATGATAGCTCACTCTGTAACATGAGTTGAATAAATTTTGTTTGTAATTTACTGAATAGTAAGTTACTGCTGAGAAAGTAAATAGGAAGCAAAAAGGAACACACAAAACCAAGTTTGAGGTTAATTAATTCCTCGAGTTATTTGGCAGTTGTTTGGCTTCGTGGTTTTATAAAATATACTGAACTAAATTAAAACTAGGACACAGTCTGAGTGAAAGCCAAGAAGAAAAAGTGGATCTACCTATTATTATTATTATTATTTACACATACATGAACACACATACAACAAAATGCAGGCACAAACATTGACTGTTTTCTTCCACTGCTAAAAACACTGCAAACTGGATGATAGTGAAGCTTCTGATTTTAAGTAGATCACAGAACAAGAGGCAGATGGATTAACTGAGATTTCAGGCAATACTAATGCATACAATTAGGCTATGTTTGAAAATTTAACATAAATGGATTCTTTCTTGAATTACTGCCCTGTTATGACTCTGTTCTGCTTCTGTAGAGTTATACCTATGATGAGCTTTTTCCCATCTTTACCAGTGGCACTTGGCTACCTTGAACAGCAGATGCATCTGGCATCTCAAGTAAAACTACTGTAATAAAAAATGCAAAATTTGTTAATTTTCTAGGATTTCTGTGTTCTGTAGCTCTCAAGAAGCAGACTTTTTTTTTCACTTCTTTTAGACAATTCCTCATGGTTTTAGCTTGTTTTGTCTGAGAATTTGGTAAAGACCTCTCATGAATTAATAGAACTACATCCATTGTTTTTCTGTCTGAGAACAAGTATGAACAAATGCATTCTTTGTCTAAAATAAACTTCTGACATCCATGACGTGCATACTGTTAGATGGGTCAGAGCAAAAGCTATGCAATCCATGTGGTTGTTTTCCAATTCCCTTAAGTTTGATGGAATTATGTGGAAGATAAAAATATAGCACTCACATACGTGTACTTTTTGCTCATTTGTGTACAGGTAACCACATTTAAATAATTATGTGTAGTCTATACGTACTTTTTTTTTGTTAGATCTTTAAGTTGTAGCATCAGCAAGATCAGAAATGTGATGTAATTTCAGTATAAAAGGCAAAATGTTTTCCTCATGTAAAAAGTAAGGTTATCTCCTTTTGTGTGTCACTGTATAAGAATGTTAGGTGTGCCAGAGTGCTTCTTAGAAGCAGCTCACTCAAAGAGCACAGAGGTGGTAGGTAATACATGAAACAGGAACTCTCTCTGCAGAGGGAAAATGAGGTTCAGAATCTTTTGTGTGGGATGCATTAATTGAGCAATGGATTTTTTTTTTTTTTTTTTTTTTTTAACTAGGGTCAGTGAGACTCCAGGGTGGCAAGAATGAGTTTGAGGGTACAGTGGAGGTTTATTTGAATGGAATCTGGGGAACAATCTGTGGGAGCCATTGGGACAATAATGATGCAACAGTCGTATGTCGACAGCTTGCACTTGGGTAAGTTTCAGTCTGAGTAAAAAACAGTCAACTTATTTTAATGTTTCAGTATAAAGGACAATCTATTTTGCAAATCCTAAGGGCTTTTTGTGTTTGATGATTGTTTTTTCTGTTTGAAAGTTGTTGAATGCTGAAGTTGTTCTTCCCAGAATCCTTTGCTTCTTTCAATTGTGTTGTACTTCAAAGAGGTTGCTGTGAGAATCAGTATTTCCTTTGAAAGCTGCATATGGGATCTGGAGAGGAGACGACCAGGGTAGATGCTTTGCTTTCAAAGTGAAAAGTATGAACAGGTCAGAAAAGCTTAGGGCGAACAAAAACTGCTTTACTAGACATCCGGGAAATGTCCAAAGCGGCAGAAATATGAGGTCTGATCTGGTTCTCACTTATGTAAGTGTCAATTAAGAACAGCTCCAGTGAGGTTACTGAATCTAGAAAAACGTAAAATGTGGCCAGAATTAGACTCTACATGGGATCCTAATCACAAGAAAATTCCTGGTTCTCAGGAGCATGGAGTTACCGTGGTAATCATCCATTCTATCCTGCCAAAAACCATCTGGGACTCATCCTAGTTTTTTGGAAGATGTGGTATTTTTGTTGTGCACATCTTCATCTAGCTAGATAATCTGTATGGTTTACTTTCAGCATGGCACATGGATAACAAAACCCCAAACCAGACAAGTTTTGCAGCTTTACATTTTCACAGGAACAGTTTACAGAGTTATAGCAATACTGGACAGGTTGAAAGTCCCTTCCCTCTGCTGTGAGAATGGAGTTAATCAACAGGATCCTTTAATGTAATTTGGTCATTAAACTCTAGAAAATGCCTATAGTGATACTGCAATTGCAATAGTAAGATGAAATTGAAGTAAGGATGAAAATGCCCATACCAAAAGGGAGTTTTAAAAATAAAATGCAATTGCAGCTTCTAAAAAAATCAATGCTGTTCAAGTTAGCAACCAAATTACTTGAATATCCCCCCTTAGCGCACCCCATTTGGTTTGCACTTTCTCAGTAAGTCACAAAGTATGGCTGGCTTTATTGCCTTTCTAACATTTCTTTCAGTCACATACCAAAGTATTGATTTTGTTTGCTACAAGCAGTAAGGGGCCTTTACAGCATACTTGCACTGTGACATTCCTAATCATTATTCCACTTTTTAAGACTGCTAGCCAGAACTAAATCTAAGCTGTTTTATAATGTTCAATACTAATCTGTACACACCATACCAACTTATAAAAATATGAGGATTAGATGAGATAAAAGTTCAGCCATCTGGAGGCCGTGATTTTGCTTACGGCTTCAGCTGTCTACATGCAATGTCTCCTTTCCTCATTTTCATGTAAGTTCTTTTTGCCTTCCATACCCCAAACATTTCAGTTGAACAAGACCGCTATTAGCAAAAGTAGTACAGTGATATGGGTGAATGGTTTGGTCTTTTCAACAGAAATGGCTTAAATCTGAATCCAGGCCAAAAAGCCCCAAGCAAACAGTAGTTGAAAGTTTCTGTTATCATGAGTGTTTGGCAGAAATTCGGATCTAAATACCACAAGGTGAACTCAGTAGGTATTATTGGTGCTTTTCAGGTGCTTCCATCTATCTGTTCCTTTGATTTTACAATATTTGGGCTTTGTTTTTAATTTATTGGGCATTATATGGAATAAAAGATGTCTCAATAATTGTTGCTGTAGATCCAGTATGGGAAGGAAAGGAAGCTCTTTATAAATGTTCTGGATGGATGGGAATGGCTGAATAGAGAATAATGGACAAGGGCCTGATCTAATGGAGTATGAGGTAGTTTCACTGTATGACATGTGTATGGGCAGAGCACTGGTACGTTTTAATGGAGTAAAGGAGAGGATAAGGGTGAAAGGCCCATTAACGTTACCTCTCCTGGAAGTATAACTGCAGCGGGCTGGTACTGTAGATTCACCTGTGGACTGTGGACTCTGTGTTGATTTTTGTAGTTAAGAACCAGGAGAACAGGAATGTAGCTGGCCCTGCAGCAACACAGGCCATTGTACTAAAATATCCCACAACAAAATGGTGAGAACTGGGTCACATCTGTTACTTTTCTTTGTGCAGAAGACAATGCTGAACTGTATGAAAATGTGATGAATTTACACTGCTGAAGAAAGCCCTTTCTTTTCTACTCCAAGATTTATATATGAGAAAATGTTCCACTTCCCCTCCTCCCACTCTAATGTCCTATCCTGATTATTCTTCTTACAGTGAAAAAGGTACAGCAAAACATGTACCATTTTCTGGACCGGGCCTTATTCCTGTTTACTGGAGTGAAGTGCGTTGTCGTGGTGATGAAGAAAATATACTGTTATGTGAAAAAGACATCTGGCAGGATGGAACATGTCCTCAAAAAATGGCAGCTGCTGTCACATGTAGCTCTTCCCCGGGTAAAAAAAACACATATGGTTTGGTTAACTCCTTTGCTTATTTAAATAGAAGTAGTAATAATTACTTATTATTAAATTAGAAAAAAAATATTAAGACTTCTTGGAACAGGAAATTAAACAGATTGAATCATCGCACCATTAACTGTTTCAAATCCTTCTATGCTCTGCAAGCAGCAACTAGCTGAACCACTTTTTACCCTTCCATAATCAACACGCAAATTACTGCTTTGAGATGTAGGTTATGAGAAAGGGTGAAGCAGAGAGAACGTCTGGCTGTAAAAGTAGGATTGTTTGCCTCCACATCTTTTTTAAACTTTTAATAAAAAATTATTTATTTATTAATTTATTTTTCGACTCAGAAGTTGTCTTTGGTAGCTACATATGCTACATGTCAATTTGTTAGCTTTTCTTGAACAGTAGGGAGGGGCAGCATTTTCACAAACAGGCTATACCCTCTTTGGTACAGAATTGTTGGGATGACATTCTTTACTGTGAACATAGATGACATTGCACAAGGAACGGCAAAGTTTTTGCCCTACTCTGCATATATTTAAAAAAGGTCCAAGTCTTCCTAGCTGAAGATTGCTACCTCACACATCACTCACGCAAGTCAAAATGATACTTTTAGGAAAAAAAAAGTATTATTAATGTTTTTTAAGATATTTCAGATTATTTTAATGAACATGATGAACGGCAACTAAATGGGCAATTATGCCATCAGATTTAAGATATTGCTGACCTTGAGGAAGGCTAGGCTGGCAGTGCTGAGGAGCTGGCAATGGCAATCTCTTCAGTTGTAACCAAAACATGTATGGCTGCAGCCAGTTCTGTGCTGCCATTCCTCTCCTACTTACATTCCTATCCAAAGGCAGATGCATTTTTGTCCTAAAGCTCCACTATTCATGAGGAATATTTTGATAAATTACTTTAACAAATCATTTTGGTGTTGATTGAGAAAACTACAGTGTAGAGGGAAGGCAGAATCTTTTTAAGCTAGGAGACAAGTTGAAGGACCAAAGCAGGATAAATAGTTTTGCCTAAAGAAACTGAAAAATATAAATTTGCAAATTACACTTTTAGGTCATAAGGTTTTCCTTCTGTTTATGGACATTTTCACCAGAGAACTTTATTTTGATTAGATAAATTTATTAAAGGACCGGTGTCTGTTTCAATAATGCTGAAAGGAAGTTTATCAGTAAGTTAGAGTCCAGGATATCTGAAAAGAATTGAACTGATCCTGAGTTTCGGCAAACTAAATGAAGCTTTCACGTTTTGCCGGTTCTACTGCAACTAGCCTTTTTAAATAACTATAAAAAACCAGATTTCATACCAGTGAAACAGTAAGATGAAATTGGATAAATGCCCTCAATTTTCTTTTTTTTAAGCCAAGAAATCGATGAAATAGTAGCATTAATTGGTTTGAAGGCCTACACAAAAATTAATCACACTTTAAATCATTTGAATGTTAGATATGGTGAAACTTTAAAATAACCTTTTAAATACTAGAGATATATATTTTTTAATATGGTTTTAAGCTGTTTCCATTATTATAGCTTTATGCAGAAGTGATGATTTCAAGACAATTTCTTGCTGGACCAGAAAAGGGCTAATGATTTGAAAGGATCAAAAATCAAACCTTATCTCAGAAACTGGAAGGGAACAATACTTGCACAATATTAAAGTGAGACTCCACAGTCAATGAGATTTCACTGCTCTGACTGGAATCACCAAAGGAATGAGAAAAGATGAGGATGAATTTCTATTTCTATGGCAATGAAAGAATTTTCGCCTCTTACTTCAGATTTTACCTTCTGGAACCAAGCCTATACAGAGCCAATTTTGCTCTTCCTGGTAGAAACACAGCTCTACTGACTGATTGTAGTATTTGGCCTTACAGCCATAAGTATCTGCAAACACTTTGACACTTAAGTAACTCAGGATCAGTATGGTTACTTGTCTGTATAATGTTCTTCAGCTACTGAGAGTGGAGCTTAGGGGAACTAATTTCTAAGAAGTTTAATTTCAGGTTTTCCATCTAACTAGAAAAAATAAAGTGTGGTTCTTGACTGATGTCAGAGAAACCATTAAGCCATCTTCTTTTTTCTTTACTATCAGGATAACATTTTCGGAAAGAAATGACCTTTTCCTATATTCTATGTGTGATCACAGCCCCTGTCTTTACTCCGATCCGGCTGGCTGGTGGGAACAACGCTCATGAAGGAAGAGTAGAAGTCTACCATGCTGGCCAGTGGGGGACTGTCTGTGATGATCAGTGGGATGATGCAGATGCTGAAGTTGTCTGTCGGCAGCTTGGCCTTGGGTTTGTTTTTCTATGTATTTTCTATTCCAGCAGCAAAGCAGGAGAGTTAGTCAGATACATAGCTTGCAGTTGTCAAAAGATGCTTCTTTAAAATAGCACTAAGACTCTGAAGCAGTAACTAAGCTTATTTACAGAAGGTTCAGGTACAGCGCCATTACTTTCAATCCCTGGAACTTTGATTAATGGGATCCAGTTTTCAGTGTCATATGATAGGGGCAATTTTGTCTGTAGGACACACAAAGGATGTGTCTCAATAAATGCTGACTTTTTTGTGAAAACTCACTACAATTTCAGTAAAGCTTCAATCAAAAACTATAGGTGAAGAAAAGGAAGTTGCTTTGACTGTTAAAATCCTTACATCCATTTTACTGAAGAGTCTTAACAGCCTCCTTGCTTTGGAGTAAAAGGACTGCTTTGTCAGAAAGGATATGTTTTTTGGCATGCCTGTGAGAATCTCTCAAGATTTAAGTCACAAGTCTCTGAAGACTGTCAGTTTGCATATACTGAGTAGAGATCTGTTTGAAGTTTTGACAAGGTAAGCTTGTCAGTGATTCTGTCTGGACTAAGCATGGTCCATAATATAGTCACAGCAGCAGAACAGGATTTTCTTGCTCCTCTTCTGGACAGCCGGGGGTGATTTTGATACCACAGAGAAGATAAGCATTCAGTATTTGAGGAAAGATGCCACAGAAGTGGGAGGCAAAGAGGAGTACTGGAGTAATCAGAGAGGAAGGAGGAAAGCACAATTGGGATGAAAGGCCAGATGGGTTGAAGAAGGAAAGAACTAGGAGCAAGATGCAGAGAAGATACTAAAATGTAAACCCAAGGAGGAGAAGGGGATTATGTCTGAGACAGACTGGATGAGAACTAAGCAGGTCAGTGCAGAGGAGACTGGAACAGAACTCGCCTGTTCAACCCTGTTGGGATTATGAAGAATTAAAAGAAGTGGCATTGAAGGTAGCAAGCTTTGTGGCATTAATGGGTGGCCCCCAGAGTGTACTTGTTTTGTAATGTGAAACAGACCTTGGACTGCTAGTGCCATCCAAATTAGCTCAAAAGGATGAGAACTGTGCAGTACTTAAAAAGCTCCTAGATCTCCTGGTGAGCCACGTGGGAATCAACATGCTCCTCTGACATCAGATTCTCATTTTTCCCCAGTTTATTTTATGCTATATTTCTATATTCCTGTACATTTTCAATTGGGAATACCTAATAGGAAGTCTACCTTCTTACAGGCTTTTTCTGCTTTTGAATTGGGCCACTATTAGTAAGTCTGGGGAGTTACTAAGCTATGCTTTACATTTCTGTATACTAATGAAAAATGTCATGCTCTTCACCTGCCTCCTTACTGATTATACTAAAACATTTGATTACTTATATTTAGTGTTCAGAAACTGCAGTTCTGAGATACTTCTAATTTGATTCATTTTTCTGAGTAAATAAATTGTATTAAGATGGTGCTAAGTCTTTTCAAAATATGTCTAGAGATTTACAGAAGTTCTCAAGTAATCAAGATGTCTTGACAAATGTGCTCATTACTGTGAAGTGACATTTTACCAACAGTGGCAGTAGACCAGTTATGAAGTAATAAAAATAATCTAAATTTACATACTGTTAATTCATCTGGAAACGTGCCACAAATTGTAAAAGTAAAGCATCTCAGTAACTAGCTTCCCACACCCTTTCAACTTTTCTGTAGCACTCCTATAAAACTTTGGAGTATTAATCTACCATTACTAGGTGAAAAATAATGATAATTTATTTTATTATTTGGTTTCATAAGTACTTTTTGCTTGATACAAATTGCCCTTGTTATAGTAATGGGATGTGTTGTCTCTGCTTTATTAGATGTCCAGAGAATCTTACTAGATTATGGTATAATTTGTTTTCAATATTCAGAGTAGTCAAGCATTATGTCTTTGACTTCAGCCAGCTTCTTAATGAATAAGGATTTTTTTTCTAACATTTTCTACACATTTGTACCAGCATCAGAATTAAAAAAATACACGAAATGGAAGCTATGTATGAGAATTTTCTTTTTGAATAAAGTTCGTATTTATGCAAATACTACTCAATAAACTTAAATGAAGAGAATTTATCTTATACATATAAATGTTCCAAAGTACAATCATCTCAAAAAATACCAGTAAATCAGGCTTTGTGTAATAAGCCTGTAATATATTTAGGGTAATATTAATAAAAATAGGTATCCTGAACGTAGGCTTTTCAGTCCCTATTAATTGAATTCTACAAAAATAGCCCGAAGTGCTGAGAACTCACAGAGCCTATCTCGGTACATCAGAAAGAGACACTGTAAAACCAAGACATTTTCATTTATTTAGATGATTAAATATAAATGGGATACCTGGATTTGAAATAAGTATTACTCTTAGTGTATCCTATGGATTATATTTTCTTAGTTTACTATATAGTGATTCACAGTTTTAACCAGTTCAAAAAGCAGCTCTTTATGAAATACAAGAGATGGAGGACTTGGCTCTTTTTCTCATTACCAGCATTGCAAAATACAAGTGTTCAGTAAATTAATGCTACATATAAAAACGCATGGTTACTTAACAAACTAAATCAAAGAATAGTAAGGGCAATCAGGAAATGTTTGGAAATCTCAGGGAAAAATATAATTTCCAATCTATTAAAATTGTTCTGGCATTGCTAAAGGAAAAAAATTAGAGCATGATATCTGTTAATATGTTATTTGGAATTAGGAAGGTCATTCAGAAGAAAAGGTAATGTCTAATTAAAAATCTCTCTCTCAAAAAAAAGTACTAGCTTCTGACTGAAGCTATGTGTTTTGCTAAAATGTTGCCTGCTGAGTGTTTTAAGATATTTTTGGTTTGCTTACCTGCTTCTTTGAAGCAATCGCAGATTATAACTCTTCTCCCTACTGAGTAAACAACACCTGCTTTTTGATATTTTCAATGTTCTCCACCACTTGAAGAAGGCATCTGGGCTTCAAAGAAACAGTCTGAAAATCAGCAGTGCATTTTCAAGATTATTGAAGCACATTAGCTTGAAAATATTAAAAACAAATTGATTTTAAACAAAATGAAAATGCAAACCACAGATTATTTACCTTTTTTGTGTGTGCTTTTATTTACAGAGCACTACCATCTACACAGTGTCTACCATGAATCTCCACATCCATCCTTTTTGTATGACTTTTTCCTGATCCTGATTTAATTTTTCTAAGCCTCTTACTGTTGTTATTTTTCCCATACTCCTTTACTGTTTACCAGGAATTTGTATAATTGCTAACTGTAAATTTAGTATTGTTTTCCTTTTAAAAAAGAGAGAACAGAGATTGCTACAGATTTATACAAAGCACTAGAAATGAAATCCACACCTATCTAAATCCATATGTGGATTAATGAGTCAGTGCCTTAAAAACATGAACTACTGCAATTTACATTAAAAAAAAAAAATCACAGCAATGTACTATTCTGACACACAGTCACAAAAGCCAATTAAGAGTTTGAATGATTACATCCAGAAACAAAATAGTCAAGACCTGTCATGTTTTCAGTATAAGCATAACATACCATTCCTGTTAGGTGTTACGTGACAATATATGGCTGGTAGTGGAAAACTCTCTTTAAAGCAAATAAATAATTAGTATAGAGCCCCGCACCCAAACTCTATGTTAATTAATTTAAACTAATCCTTTAGATAGGTAAATTACTATAGTAAAAAATTTAGATAGATATTTCAGTCTTAAAAGTTGAAAAAGACAACAGTTCTTGAGAATACTCCTATAAAAACTAGACTGGATATATGAACAGAGAAACTATTGAGTGGAAAGAAACCAAACCACGAAGAACATTTACATATGAAAGACATGGTATCTTAAATAGAATTGGAAGAATCCTGATAGATCATCAAGTGTTAAACACTGCATAATTTCTGTAATGCTGAAACAATGGAGTGTTTTCAATTTACGTAGGTTTTTCTGCTCAAAATCCTCTATACTGACATGAAAGAGTATAACACACACAAGGGTAGTCATTGGTCTGTGTTCTGTTCTTATTTCTACCACTGATTGGTAGTATGACAATGTCCAGTCACTCAAGATCTCTTTGCTGTGTTTTTTACATGACTAAAAAATCACTTTCATCTGCCCCATCCGGGTATCTGAGATTGATTAATGTGCTTTGAGGACAACATATGAAAGTCACTGTAGAAATAGATATCGGATTATTTTTACTACATATAAACATCAAATGGAAATTAAAATTAGAATCCTCATACCCAAGCTGTACTTCTGTAATCTCTTCTAGGAAAGTTATGCTTAAAAATCAAAAGGGACAGAAAAGGAAAATCTCATAGATACAAAACAGTAGAAATTGATGTTCTAAGTATGTTCAAACCCTGGAAGTGTGGAAGTGGTAGGTATAAATCACTCCATAGCCTCAGCTGAGACTGAAGGTGGCTGTGGAACCACATCACATTACATGACACCATGCAGACTGCATGGTCAATTCCCAGTGCAGTGGCTATTTAGGCAGTCCCATCGGCTATTCTAGAAGCTGGCTATGCACCATTTTAGCTCTTTGCGCTGAGCCCCAGACTCTTCGGCTTGCTTGTTCTTGACTGGGTGTTTGTTACATTTCCACAGGGGTGTTGCCAAGGCGTGGAGCCAGGCTTACTTTGGAGAAGGCTCAGGCCCCGTGCTGCTGGATGAAGTGCGGTGCACGGGAAATGAACTGTCGATAGAACAGTGTCCAAAAAGCTCCTGGCGAGAACACAACTGTGGCCACAAAGAAGATGCTGGCGTTTCCTGCACACCTCTCACAGGTACTTCAGTTACCAATAATCACACAGGAAAAGTGACAAATGCAGAGTTCACAACTCTGGAGAGAGAATCTTTAAAGTTTACAGATGCACAAAACCCCACAGTAATAAAGTGTTCTGGCAGTATCAAAATGAACCAGCTATGGAAATTTTACAGGTACAGAAAATCTCATTATTCAACACAAAGCCTTGGTTCCTCAGTAACATGCTAACTGCCAATTTACTACGCGGGGCATGCCTTAACTGTGTATCACATCTAGCAGTGGCAGTAAGCATTTCAGCATAAAAGCAATGGGAAATAACCGAACAGACAAAGAATAAGATACGGTGTATATAAAGTGAAATCACGTAATCAGAGCCCACTCCCGCGGACTTGGCATGTAATAAGGGATTGGGGGATCAATATCTTGTGCTATTTCTCTTGCACTTAAGCAACTGAATTATGCAATGCTTCACAGCTGACTGGGTGCACTATGGCATTTCTTTTACCTTCTCATTAAATAACACCTAGTCATCAGCACTAGATTTAGTAGTCTAATATTCTGATCAGATGCAGTAAATGCAATGTTATTAATTTTGTTTTAGAACAATAATTGGACCTAAGAAAAACTGATTCTTGTTTTTGTTTTTCCTTACTTGTTAATGACACAGATGGTGCATTAAGACTAACAAGTGGGAAAGGCAGTCATGAGGGACGCCTGGAGGTCTATTATACTGGGCAGTGGGGCACAATCTGCGATGATGGGTGGACAGAGCTGAATACACAGGTGGTTTGCCGGCAGCTGGGATTTAAGTAAGATTACTTGGTATTAGATACCTGACTCTTTGACTTGACAATGATGACAAACATTTACATGAACCCTACATTATTCAAGCATCTGATTTTTTTAGTATCAGCTGAGTGCTTCATAGAAACTACAGAGTTAAAATCCATGAAAGCCTGCTTCCCTCAGTCTCAAAGAGAAATTTATGGCCTCAGTTTAGGTAGAAGAAAAAGCTTCAGCTGAGGTTGTGATTCAGCAGCCTGTATTCACCAGGTTCCTTCCAATCATCTTTTTGGCTAACTGAGATCAATGCACACGCTAGAGAGAAAAACTGATTTGTTGTATTCTGTTTTGCCTATAAAAGTTTGATTCTTCAAAATCTTTGCTTGTCGAACAGTCATTAAAAATCACAGAGATTTTCAAGGTATAAGTTCTTCTGGATCTAGCTCAGAAAAAAACCACAGTCTGGCCCTGGAACACTGTTATGTATTGAAAAGCATATTTTAGAAAAAATCCCATTAGAGTTTCATGCATTCACTCTTCACTACTTTTCCTACTGACTGTGGCTACAAAGATACACTCTCACAAGGCGACTGTTGTCTTGCCTTCAGATTATAACAGCTCACATTAAAAAAAAAAAATTGTCTCATTTTTCCTCATGTACTAAGAACATGCTTTTAAGTCTCAAAGTCAGTGAGACAGCCACATGCTTGGTTGAAAGGAGGCCTCAATCAAAGGTATTAGATTCTCAAGTTTGTATTAATGTAACAGTAATTCTTTAGAAAAACATCACCAAAGAAGCAGCATATGGTCCTCTCATTTAATTTAATGCTAACTGAACCTGCTCTGTCATGGTGAACACCGTTTACTGTTACTACTTGAGAAACCTTTATTTCTTCAGGTATAATTTATTTCCTCTCTATTGCTTAAGTATCACATGCCCTCTGATCACTGTGGACCAAAACGTTACGTATACACATGTGTTATGCAGGTATGGAAAAAGTGCACCTGAGAGCTACTCAGAAGGAAGCTCTGGGCCCATCTGGTTGGATGATGTCAGCTGCTCGGGGAAGGAGACAAACCTTCTGCAGTGCTCAAGGAGAGAGTGGGGAAAGCATGACTGCAACCATCAGGAGGATGTCAGACTCATTTGCCATCCAGACAACGACAGCCATAAACTCTCATTTGGTAAGTCATCTCTTTGGTAAAGTCACAGTATGAGCATTGTGGTGGGTGCAGATCGGAGCAAAGTATAGTATACTTAAGGATGCTCAAAATCTTAGTATTTGGAAGACACGTGCAAAGAAGTAACAGACAGGGAAAAAAGCTCACTTTTCTCCTGAAAATCATAGGAAGTAACCAAGCTTTGTTCAAAGGAACATAAACAGTCAGAACATTGAAGATCAACACAAATCTGTAAAGTAACAAAGTCAGATTCCATAGATCCTGTTCTCTCTATCTTCACCAGATTTTAGACCTATTCAGCACTTCCTAACGGTATGCTGCATTTCACTTGGCACTCTCCATGTTCTAAGTAACTGTCTCATGCTATCAAACGTTGGAGATGTACCCAAGCACTGAGGAATACAAATCAATAGTATATCCCCCTATGGCCCTATATTCAGATAATCCAAAAATAGATATGGAGAAAGAGGGGAAGTTCAGAGATAGCAAGAAGGAAGGGTGAGAAGCATGAAATTATTTCTTTATTACTATTGTCTATCATTTACATTGTGCCTGGGTGAATGGGACCCCCTTGCTGACCAGGACAGAATAATACTACAAACACAGATCAAAGAGCCACTTCCAACATCAAAAAGCCTACAAACTTGTATGAAAAAAGAATGAAAAGACAAACAAGAAAAGAAGTGAGAGAAAAATAGTAATTACACAGTGGCACTGTAGAACAAAATGTACACAAACAAATACCAAAGAGTCCTAAATCCACATGCAGATAATTAAACAAGAATTCTGGCTATCAGATATGCACAGTAAAAGTTACAGGGGAACAATGGGTTGCTCAGCAATTCTGAAAAACAGCTTCATTTTTAGAATTTACTACCTACAAAGTTTGTAGCTTGTCAGTTGGTAGCCTTTTACAAAATTGTTGCTGGTATTCTTTAGTTTACCCAAGTATATTTTAGTCAATTTTGAAATTAGAATTAAAACTAGTGGAGTTAGATTCACAGCTTCTACTGAAATGTAATGGATTTGTATGCCTGGGTGCCTGAAGTTCTCTGGACATTATAGACTGAAGGCCTAACCTGCAAACTAAGACACTGAATACTGCACGACATTGCTACCTGTTATAACAACAATCAGCATTTCCACATGTACTTTTCTAGTCTCTCCCTCTTTATAGTCTTTTTCTTTATAGCCTTTTGACCTCTCACAGTCCAATGAATGTTTTATGTTGCAGTACAGTGCAATTATGGTAGATGATGTCAAATCATATTTGGTAGAAAGAATTTTCTCAGACCAAAAATAACAGGAATTCAAATCATGACTGCTGTCTTTACAGATGCAAACCATCTGTGCTGCTTTGCTCAAATTCCTATAAAATATAATCTTAGCTGAAGGAGGTCTGGTTCAGTTAAATGCATCCATATGGTAACATTCTCACATCCCCCATTACCAGAAAGTTATATTAATTTTGTGCTCATAAATATGTATTTTTTTTCTATAACACAAGAAAATGAGGTAACAATAAAATAGCTATACTGTGTCATTAATATCTCATGCCTCTAGCTGGGTAATATAATCTTCACCTAAATCATATTCTTCCAGAATAACACATAATTTCAACAAGAAAATGAAGACAGCGTATCTGACATTTCCTACAAGATTTCTGATTGGAAACTGGACAAAGACTCTATTGTTACCATTTACTTCCCAGCATTTGAGAAAGCCTTTTTTCTCCCTGTAAGGATGAATTCAGTGGAAAAATATGAGAAATTAGTAGACGATATGACTTGCAGAAATACAGACATTAAGGAACACTAAAAATGAGATAGAATACACTACAACAACTACAACATTCGTTTAGTATCTAAGATCATGACAATGTAGTTAAACAGAAAGTAAGTTGGTGAAGTTAATTCATGTAACTGTCCAGACAGTATGAACACCAGTATAAATAATATGCTTTAAATGGTATTTGAAGCAAACAGACTTTAATTTTGTTTTCAAATCTTTCCTCTTTTAATTAATGAATTAGGCCAGATTTAACTACCTCTGATCCAGAGTAAGGTTTGGTATATGAAAGTTATTCATACCCTAAATTAATCTAAATTAAGTATCAAATGCAAATGTCCCCGAATACTACTTTATTTAAGAGCATGATTAAGTAATTTCTTACCCCTACAGATTTAGAAAAGATTAGGAACAGGTCAGAAGAATGAGGAACAGTCTTTCCAATTATTCTAAACAGAAACTCTCATTAGTGTATTAAGAATTCTAAAGTATGACATACTAAAAGATTTAGAAGGTGATTCTCACTTAAACATTATAAAGAGGCCTCAGAGGAATTCATAACTGTTTCAAGGCTACTTGCATGCTATAAAGGAGTTTTAACATAAGCGAGAATCAAATTTTAACTACAGGCCAAGCACTGAACGAACCATGATTAATTAAGTCTGACTAATCCACATAAGTGAGATTTTTTATTATGAACATATCTGAATAAGCAATCAATTTAAATTGCTAGAAAATAATCACGCATTAGTCTCGAATAACATGCTGTAGAACATTATGCTATCAGACAAAATACGCTACAGAACTGCATGCATAATCATAAGGAGTAACTGAAGTTCAACACAATGCTGTACTTTTTTGCTGAGATAGTGGTTAAGAGGAGTGGTAGCGACCAGTTTGAGAATGAACTGAGATATAATTAAATTCACCCATAAAGTTTCTGCAAGGAAAACATGTCCAGCTTGTATGGGTATCATATCAAAGATATCTCAGGTGTTTTCTGCCTTTATAGGGAGAAATGTTCTGTGCCCACTGTGGTAAAATTCTGAGCTATATCACATTTTTATGAAATGAAGGAACCAGATGAACTCTGAAGTTCAAAATACAGTAGTATTTCATATTTGTCTTGTAATTTGAACAAACCACTTCCTTTTGCCAGCCAGGATAAAATATGACTACTTTAACAACTGACATTAGGCTTGTTAAACATGAACATCAGTTGACCTTATATACTGAACACTATGAAAATGACTTGAAGTACTAGTTCTTGCTTGTGTTGTTGTGAGTTGACAGCAGTAATTTATTCCCAGGTCCTCCCATCAGGCTGATGGATGGTGAAAATAAGAAGGAAGGACGTGTAGAGATTTTTATCAATGGCCAGTGGGGCACAATTTGTGATGATGGATGGTCTGATAAGGATGCAGCTGTAGTCTGTCGACAGCTTGGCTACAAGTAAGAAAACTCATTAAGATGTTTCTCAAGTTATCTGTTTGCTGTATCTAAAAATGTTAATTTTCTGCAACTGAGTATTACCAACTTATGTCCGATAACATAATACATGCCTTTTAAAACTTGCCTGTTTGGCATTCTTTGAGAAAAGTGTATTTATACTATTCATTTGAGAAGTAGTAAGGCTATGTCTTCAAAATGAGTATTCATTAACTAGCATAATTGGGAAAAGGAATTTTAATATTCAAAGGTATATAACAGTCTGACTGGCAAATGAAATGCAAGTTAATGCTAGTTATTAAAATTTTTTTTAGAAGTTAAATATTCCAAATTACTAAGCTATTGACTAAATACTATATTTTATTTGTCCCTTATGGTGCTACATGTCTATATGATATAAACATATTACACCATTTATTTACTTATTTATTCACACTTAGTTGCACTAGTGTAACTGAGAAGAGAATTTGATTTAGTGTACCTGCTCTGTGCTCTTTGCCACTCGAACTGTTCTTAATTTACTTCTTTCATTGTCTGTTTTCAGATTTCTAAACTTTTTTAAAAGCCAGACTGAAATTTCTAGTTTGGAAAAAATGAGGGAAACTACTATTAACATGTAGAATACCACAGATGATTACATATGCTGTGAACTATGTAGATTCTCTGTTTTGTTTCTGATTTTGTGTGAGAGCTCTGTGTTCCACCAGACTTTAGTGACGATTTTCATTCATGTAATGATTTTTATATTGAGTCATCTGTAGTCAACACAGAAAAACTTAAGGTACCTAAATGCTAGTGCTTTAGTGATTTGATGTAACAGTATACACAGAAAAACCCTGGGGAATTTAAAATGACTTTTTTATCACACTAGCAAAGAAAATACAAATGTTCAGAACCTAGACTTGGTTTACCATAGTTTACTGAAATTGTCTGGAACTTAGCTAAAATTTCAGGGGTAATGGTTGTATAGTTTTAAAGAGTTCTTGATCTGTTTTCATTGAAAGGTATAATTTTGCATATTATTAATATTTACCTTTTGTGAACCTTAATGATGACTTTGAAATCGTTATAGATTCTAACATAGCTGTTAAATTTTTTAATGAAATATAGCAACAGGTCAGTGTCCACTGTCACAAGGCGTGGATGTGATTTCTGCAGATTCAGATGTAGACACACCAGCTATTGAATTCCCAGTTTCACGTTTTTTTCTCCTTCATTTACTGATCTGGCTTGACTTGATGTAGCTTGGAGATTTGATAAAACTGTTATAACAGAGGATTATGGCTTTGGCCTGCATGACAGTAATTTAAATAAGCTTCATTTAATATAGGAATAGACCTGACAGGACAAAACCACCCTCTAATTAAAACTACCACAATGTATACGTGTCACTTTTGAACTAAGTCGCTTAAGCAGGCTTACACCACTCATAAGCAATTTTTTTCTGGATGCCTAGGAGCAGTAAAGATGTAACAACTACAGGGCAGACATATAAATAGCAGAACTAATATGATATCCAGAACACTAGTGAAATACAACAGGAAACTAGTGAAATGTCTTCTCTGAATGTATCTGTAAAGAAATTTCAGCTTAAGAAATACAAATCATGTTAATCTGTTTGCTGTATCTAACAACGTAAAGTTTGTGCAACCAAGTATCATCAAACTATGTCTGAACAAATAATATATGCCTTTTAAAAATTGTCTGGTATTCGTTTAGTAAAGCATATTTATAGGTAGCAGTAGGCTATGGCTTCAAAACTACAAAACTTGACTTGTATTATCACTCAATCATTCATTCATTTAGTCAGCTTCATCCTCAGCCTCTCTGGCCTTTTATATCTCTCCCTCAGATGATCAAACTCAACCACTTATCCCCATGTTCTGTTTTTAAATCTCTGCAAGGACAGACAGTTGGCTGGATTCTCAATTTGTGTCATGTCAGAATGGGGGTTTAACATTATAGGATACAACAGAGCACATGTTTCCTCAAGGACTAGGAATAGACACATTTTAGAAATCTAAAATTAGGTTCCAAAAATTGGGAGAGCTTGTCGGAAATGCTGGATCTTGGTGACCCTATGTCTAGACAGTTGCATTCCACAAACCCAACTATGCCATTACATGCACTGATGAGCTGGAATTGCTTCTGGGCCTAGGAGTTCATGCACAGATCTTTTTGCTGAAGTTCAAAGTATATTCAGTGGTGACTTGACTGTTTCAAAGCAAGGCTGGGGCTTCTGGGTTTATGCACCTGAGCTTAAGGGTTGATGAATGTTGTTTCTTTAGAAATAAACACATCATGAGCTTTTCCTGGGAGGAATTAAAAAAGCACCTAATACTGAAGTTGACATCAGTTTTCATTAAGACTGATCACAAAACTAAACAGTATCATTCAACTCCCTTTACAATGCTATGTTTGATTCTCAAGTCTTTCCTCCTGTGGAATTACATTCCTTAGGGGAAAAAAAAAAAAATAATAAATGTGTGATTTTTTTAAGTGGGAGAAAAGACTGCCTTAAAAAGGAAGACTTGTGTAAGCAAAGGGTGAACACTGACAAAATGGACTGAGTTTTTCCTGCGTATATTATTCATATTGTCAATGCTTGCCAGTACATTTATTTTACAAAATCCTGCTTTGGAACATTCTCAGCCATTTACTAGGGTTCATTCTGAGACTGAAATAAGAAAATCCCTGAGTTGGCAAAATAACTAGGTTCAAAGCAATACTAGTTTTAAAGATGTCTCATTAAGCCAGTTTGTCAAATCCATGATTAACGTTAGAAAAACATAATATAAAGAACATTAGAAAACAGCCCTACTAATTGGCTAAAACCAGTCACGAAAACATAAAAATAATTAATAGCACCCTAATCAAAGTATGCTTATGGCAAGATAAACACTAAGAGAACACACATCTTTTCTGAAGTACTACCTACTATGTGATTGGGTTTAACATACAAAAGTATTTTGTTAGAATGACTAAAGAGCAAAAGACGGTTTTAGAAGCTCTTGTACTTTAGTGAATTAAGTGGCCTGCTAAGATTGGACCTCGTTCATTTAGAATAGGCTTGTAAGAACGCACAGGCACTCCCCCACCCCCCCCAAATAATGAACACATATCCTGCCATTAGTACCCCAAAAATGATCTACTACAGGAAAAAAAAAAAGTTCTAGGCCATCTATACTAATCAACTGGATTTCCTGATTAACAGTATTATGAATAATGGTAATACTGCATCTGAAGAGCTCAGCATGTTATTGTGTCTGGCCTTGTGTCTGAGAACAGCTAGGGGATAAGACTTGAAGCCGTCCTTTTCTCTAGGGACAGATTTGAGCAAGCAAAAAGGTTGTTTCTCTGATGGTCATCTGTGCATAAATAGCTGGCTTAGAAAGCAGCAATTAAGGGACACACACGTTTGTTAAGGGTGAACTAAAACCAGTTGTAAGAGCACATTCCAGCAGGTAACAAACACATAAGACTTAACATTCTACATTTAGAGATCTCCCAATTATATGAAATAATTTTGTCTATTAAGCTGCACTCCTTGCTCTAGAACATAATGATTTTTGTATTTGTTTCCTGGTAGATGTTCTATTTAAACAGTTGGGTTTGGGGTTTTTTTTGTTGTTGTTAAAGAGTGGGTAATGGAAAAACCTTTCATAGCAATTATCAGCAAACTGAAAGATTACTGATGCACAGTAAGAGATAGATAACTTTCATATAAAGGTATGAAGAGTCTCTGCAGTCCAAGTCCTAGTTCATGTCGATGCGTGATTGCAATCCATATGCACTAAGTTCCCACCTTCATCTTTGTCTCTCTACACCTCTTTCACCTAAAATATTTACATATGTGACCTCACAGATGTCAGAGTATTCTTTGAGGTTTATCTGGTAAGCCAATGGAGGCAGTGCCCTTGTTAAGTAGCCAGTAAGAGTCTGCAGAGATAATTCTATACTAAACTGCAATAAATACTTCTCTGGGAAAGGCTAAGAATACTGTGGTGATTCACAACAAAGTAGTTTTCAATATCCTGAGGAACTTTAGAGCAATGTCCTAAAGCAGAAACTTTGCTTTTTGACATAGAGATATGAAAACCAGGTAACAATTTGCAATGAGTGCCTGTACTGTCTCACTATTTTATAATAGCATATATGGACACATCAGCTGCCCACAGGAATTGGAGAGTTGGACATTTTTTTATCGTTATCTGTAATCAGAGTATTATTCGCAAAAGAAAAATATTTGGATCAAGAAGAGACACATTGCCTGTGACTGACAAGTTAAATCATACTAAACTCATTAGGCAAAGATTGTCCTATACTGGTTCCAAAGTCAGTTAAGGCTTTGGATTATCTGGTAAATACATGCTAGCCATGGAAATTAAAAATGTGTAAGGACAGTTGACCTTGTGGTGTCATCTCTGTCAGATATTTTACATGCCTCTCTTTCCTGGCTTTTTACAATTCATGTGTTCTAACCAACATTCCCTACCTAGAAGACCTGCCCGCCTACCCTTCAGTACGTGGTAAAAAAATCCAAACAGGCAAGTTTGAAAAAGGAGGAAGCTTGTATGTGTTACGTTCATGTTTCAGTTATATGGATATGGGCAACTGACAACTGAATTCTTTCAGTTTGATCCAGCCCCACTTCTAGCATGATGAAGCTTTGAAAATGGTACAATAAATTAAAAATCCTCCCCAACAGAGAATCCCTAGCTGATAAAGGGACATAAAGTCTTTATGCCATTCTCACCTATCTTCCCCAACACTGCAGGTATTAAACGAGGTATAAAAAGAGGTGTAAAGGGAGAGAAATACTTTCTTGCCTAATACATTTTCATTGTTAAACTCTCTTTCTCTGCTCCAGCATTTCACTGTACATGCAGTTACCCTTTTGTATACATAGAAGTGCTGTCCTTTACAATATGCAATTATAACACATCCTTTAAAACTAAGATATAGAGCAACATTTTAGTTATCTAGAATTCCGTACACTTGTCTGTAGTTCAGACACCCCTAGAGGCAGCTGCGGCTTCCTGCCCCACTTCTCCGTATAGCTGGTTGGGTGGTCTCCCACTCGTAATTCTGACTCTTAAACCGTACACAACAAAACATCTACTCATATATTAAGAAGCATTATCCTAAGTAATTAAAAGTAATAATCTATCACAAAAACTACCAAATGAGATGCTTACATGCACAATTCATGTTGGGTTTTTATTGTATTTGTTCATCTACTCCCTCATTTGGGAATAAAGTTCATCATTCAAAAGAGGTCATTCACACAACCGACACTGTGGTCACTGCTGAAGCTGTATGGCACTACATACAAGCTATAAGGACCAGGACTTCAAACCCAGTAAAATGTCCTAAGTCCGACATTTAAATACTTAGGTTTGATACTTATCCTTATACAAGCATAGGATTATCATACTGACCTTCTTCGTAAAGCGCCTTGAGGCCTATGTACAAAAATGCTACACAAGCACTAAGTACGGGGTTCCTCCCAGGAAAAGGTGGGTGCTGAGACTCAACTGGGTTCAGTCTTTCTCCAACTACATTACAGTTTTAGAACTCAACTGTGGGGTGCGCTTCAAAAATGGCATGATAAGGAAATACGTTAATAACTATTAACAACTAATAGATCTGTAAATCATAGTTTCTACTACACCGCAAGTATACTGTATTTAACTGGCCCATCTATCTGAGGGAATCAGACCAGAACAAATTATTTTTAGCATTCACAGATGCTGATTTTATATGAGGATTAAAGAGATTATGAAAAAGCAGCTTTCACATATTTTGCTTTATAGATATTTGTAATGCCGTTACGATGTAAAATAAGTTGCATACTGCCTTCTAACTAGATATAAAAGCACTTTTGAAACATTAAAGAACTGCAGCAATTTTGTTACACTTTTTTTGTACTTACCTGAGTAACAGAGGCAATGAGAAGAAAAGTTGTCATCAAGTGAATCAGTGACAGGACTTGGAATAAAACCTCAATGTCTTTCACTACTCACTCTTAAATATTTCACTCTTAAATATTAGTAAAATGTAGAATAATGCCTCAAAATGTTTAATTAAAAAAAAATATACTTTGTTTCCAGAGGTCCGGCTAGAGCAAGAACAATGGCATATTTTGGGGAGGGCAAAGGCCCAATCCACGTGGATAACGTGAAATGTACAGGCAATGAGAGATCCTTGGCAGATTGCATTAAGCAGGACATTGGGACGCACAACTGCCGTCACAGCGAGGATGCGGGGGTGATCTGCGACCACCTAAGCAAGAAGGCCCCTGGGAACAGCAATAAAGGTGAAGCCCTGTTGTGAGTGGCAGACCAACAGGTTCGGATGGGGAACTGTCACGGTAGGAAGAGACGGATGTAAACAATCCCATCTCACAGAGGAAACTGTTATATCAAAAGAATTATAGAAACAAAAGCAGTGGAAATCATCTCTGCTTGCACTGTGTGATCTTATTGCTGTGCCAGCCACGCAAAGAAATCGTAAAGACTATTCAAATGATACAGGGCATTTGTCTACTATAGATTACAGTAGCCTTGTTTCTTAAGTTGTATGAGGGACACGAAAATGCAAAAACCTAGACAGCTACTTTCAACTTTTCAAGATACAGGTTATCTTCAGCTGAGGACTGAGACCTTTGTGGCATGCCAAGCTCTGCTTCCACTTACATGAAGTAAGGAACAACCCTATAAAAAAATCCTACACTTGAGAAGCAGAGCACAAATGTGTAAATTGCTCTGTGATCACAGTCAAAAGATCTCAGCTAAAAAGAATTTCTAAGTCTGAGAGAATTCAGGGTATTTTCCCCAAGCAAAATTTGTTTTTTAATAACTACCATGAAGCACAGAATAACTTCAACCTTCGTGGTTGGTTTTTTTTTTAGTTAACTCTCATTGAAGATTGGCTACTTTTCATTTTGAGTTTAATGCTGTCTACATCTCCCTTTCTGGTTTAGATTCTCTTGCTTCTGTTTGTGGATTGAGGTTACTACATCGCCGACAAAAACGAATAATTGGTGGGAAAAATTCTTTACGGTAAATATTTGGTAAAGACAAGTAATTTTGAATAAAAAGCTTCTAAGACATGTATTTGCCATAAATGGTTTGCCTAAATCATGATTTTATTGTAGGTTTGTTGTTTGTTTTTCTTTTGGCTTGTCACAAGGTAGAAGCAGAAATATACTCAAAGCAAACTGGTAGGAAATTAAAAAATATTCATTGATAAATACGTGCACCATTAGTTGAAAATCTGTAGATACTTAAGGGTTTAGTCCCTGATTGGGTTCAATTTCTTACTTTCAAAATAGCCTTTTTACTTCTTTTCAAAGGATATCTTGGTATCGGGATGTGAGCTATATGAAGAGAGCTATCAATATTGTACAAGGTTTTAAATGCTACCTACACCAAGGCCTGGGTATGATTCACTGCCTAAACCCCAATTTTCCTTCACAAAATAAGTCTCAATGATGACACAGCTATAAACCCAGGCTTCTTCTTAACACTTTGTTCTTAGCTTTTAATGACATGTTTACATTTAGTTAATATAAATGGATTAACTGAATACTACTACACGCTACGATAGGAAGTACAGGCCTTTTTTTCTTAACAGTTTCGAGTAACCACAAAAAATATATATTCACAGAATCTTACAAAAGGGATTGTGAAAAATACACTTATAGTATTATTACTTGTCATTGTGCAACCTATTTCAAAGTACAAGCACAGCATCAATCAATCCATTTAAAAAAAAACACTGCCTAAGTGGAGGAGCTTCAAAGAACAGTAACAAGAGGGAGCCCAGAAAAACATTCCAATGCAGTCAGACAGAGCAAAGTAGGATTACTTACCTTAGTAAAGAGACAAATGAGAATAATAAATAATGCATTGTACAGAAAAAGATCGAGAATTATTGTCGCAGAATATGTGTACAAAGGACACTGGATGAAATGAAATGGTGACAAATAATGGATTGCACGATTAAGTCAGAGCAAGAACCTGATCTCATAATAAATAAGCACAGGAACATTAGACGAAGCAAAAAGGTGAGAGAGATCCAATAGTGCACTTAGAAATGCTTCAAAATCAAGAAAAGGACTCATTGTCACAAGAAGTCATTAAGACAAAGAACTTGCAACATTAAAAAAGGAACTGGATACTCACATACATACCAGGAAGTCCAAAATTATCCGAATTACCCCATTTTGGAAAGACACATTAAATCCCATCTTCCAAAACTAAAAAACATCTAAATTGTTTTATGCTTTATGGCAAGTAAATTGCTCCACCTTACTTCAAAACATTTGGCACTGGCAACTGTGCGATAGGATGCTGGACTAGATCCTGGGCAGCTCTTTTACTCCAGCATACCTATTCAAGTTGACAGTAGTCAGAAAACACCTAAACCCACCTGTTGCTTATTCTTGGATGTTGCTATTGCTTACAGGTGCATCTCTCTCCCTCTCCCTTCTGATTCCATGTTTTGCTAATCTATTAAACTGGTGAAAAACAATCCATCCTGTCTTCATAGGCCTGCAAATACGTACCCCAGATGTAGTATACAAAACAGATGATCGCAGGCTGAAAAAAGGTGCTAGTCTATTATTTGTGGTTTCTACAGTTGCTTTAGACCTCTTGGTTTGCCAGTTTCCCTTTTCAAACAGCTCAGAACTGACAAAGATATTAACGCAGACAGGAAAGGAAGCTGGGTTAAGCTTTTCAAGAAGTTCCTTTCTTTCCCCTCTCCAGTTGACAGGAAATTTCTGGTTTGTTGACTTGGATGGTATTTGGCGAGGAACCCATAGAATGTATTTTTGGCACAATGAATGCAATGTGAGAAAGAAAATTAAAATATTTGACAGTGGGAGGAAGCGCTCAGAGTGCTGGATGCCCAAACAATCCGTAAAGTAATCCTGACCATTGTTAAATGGAATTCTGAATGCTGCAGGAATATAAAGGTATTCTCAACTGTTACTCAATAAATAACATGATTTGCTAGCTATGTCAGTCAAAGAAACTAAACAGGATATACACTCAAGGTAACTGACAAGCTACCTTACTTTTCCATTGTTGTACCCTGAACACAATGTCTCATGTCATCTGTAGGGGCAGCTGGCCATGGCAGGTTGCACTCCGACTGAAATCTTCTCATGGTGATGGAAGACTCTTGTGTGGTGCTACTCTCATCAGCAGCTGCTGGGTCCTCACTGCTGCACATTGCTTTAAAAGGTAGGTCTCCCTTCAGTAGCGAAATACATTTTCAAATTATTTTGTTGTTCTGGGAATAGGAAAAACACTCCAGTTCAAGCCCACTGAAAAATGGTCTAAAGAGTTGGCCTTTGGTTTAAAAAAAAAAACTACCAACCAACCTCTTTTCCCTTCAAATAAAAACAAACAAAAAAGCCTAATACATTGAAATTATTCTGGGTGTCATCATTCACAAGATTTATATTCACAACTTCAGCGTTTCCATGAAAAAATACAAAACTGCAGCTTATGGCTTTGAGGTTATAGTGAAGACAACTGAGCAAACATCAGACACAAGGACTGTAATATTTTGGATTATTTTTGGTAATGACAGATATTGGCAGTGATAGGCATTTTTACTCTAACACTGCAGTGACTAGGTGCACTAGTCCCCCCAAACCCATTTTAGGGTAAAGGACTATTATGTATTCTGCTGAGTCTAATAGGAAAATCTGTACACTGGATGCTAGTGAGACTGAGCTGTTTTGCTTATTCTTCACAAATAGGCTGGAGCAACTGCCTTATTCTGTTGTCTTACAGTACATAAAGAGTTGTCTTTTGCAGCCACCTAAACAAAGGTCCCATCCCCTTTAACAAAGAAATAATTGTCTAAGCGGTTATACTGGTATAATTCTCTGACACTGGCATCTCTAATAGACCTATGCCAAATTCAGCTCCTTTCCATATGTTTAGCAACTGGTTTGCAACTTACACTCCCTTGTAAATCACATTTGATCTACTTGGTCTAACTTCTGCAATTCTCAGAATTAAGCTATTATCTAGCTTTCAAAAATGTCTTCTCCCATTTTTGCAGAAACAGATATTCTGTTACTGATAATTCTCCTATTCAGTTTTTGTGATATCCACTCTTCAGTAATTTGACATCAGGAATTCACTGCTGATGAAGTTACTGTAGTATAAAAGCATCAACTTGCACATTAAGGGAGCTAGTCTAGTATTTTAAGCTTTCAATGGCAATTATTACATTGGATTCTTACAAAAGGTTGCAGTATGGGCTGGAATAAAAGCATAGAAGAACAGCATTGCAGTTTTGAGGATATTTGCTAGAATTTGCTTAAGTCAGCTGCAAATGTTTTAACTTTGGACTTTGAGTCTTTCCTTTTGCACACCAATAACTAAAAAGAAGAGTCAGATATACTTTTACTTAAATGGAAAGTGTTACCTTTGCTTAGTGCCAGGTGCACATCTTTTCATTTCCATGTTTCATGAAAATCATGAAGCACTTTTCTTAGTAATATTTCAAGCAGAAATGGTCAAACCCAATAAAAATTCTGCCTACTTCAACTGATGTCCCAGTTGTTTCTGTGGAACTATAAAAGCACTTCAGTTGCTATCATCAAAATTTATAGACAGTGGCTTCTTATTCCCCTGTTCATCACCTCTATAGTGATTACTAAGAATGCAACTTAAGCTCTTGAGAAAGCCTTTGATTAAAGGCTTGAAAACAAGGCAGTCCTTTCTGTTACTTTTACCTCAAAGATCCTCTCCAAGGAAAGAAAGAGGGAGGTCACAGCAAGCCAGGTATGTTTTCTGTGTGCAAATGAAGATCTCAGTTACCCAACGCTTCACCTTATTAGAATGCTTTCACAAAGTTTGGTGAAAAAAGTTAGGATTTGCTGTGCTGCGCTCCTGTAGTTGCAGCGCATTCTTACAGTAAGCACTCCCCACAGAACACATTACCTGTTCTTCCCAATGGCTTGCTTACATAGCTGGGGCTCCAAGTCGTTACCGAATGTGCTGCCAAAGCACGCCCATTTTGGGTACTTTGCTGAACACCCATATGATGGGGCAGCAGGATGGCTGGAGCAATGTACACTCTGATACTTCCAGATTGGTGCAGCCACTCAGGGGTCTGCTAAAAGACTGTCCCAAACCTGTTACCTGTGGTCTCAGGGACCAAAGTATTGTTTCGCCTCAGATGTTGCATTTAAAACCATGCAACCTAGATCTAAGCATGCAACTCCAACAGCTTGTGGATGCACTACTGTTTACTGTAAAAGAGAGAAGGCACCTTTAGCTCCAAGTTGACATTGGACAGACTGGTATGAACTTCCTAATGATCTCAGAGTGATTTTAAGGGGCTAGGTTTCCAAGAGCTATCTATAGATCAAGCGCCTTCTTCACATATTTTCCACGCACAGACAAGAGAAAGGCCAGTATACCATTTCTCATATCCTGGAAATTGGAACACTGCTTAAGTAATAAAAGTGGGCTCATCTGTACCATGGATAAAAATTAAATACAATTTTATGCATGATGATAGAATCGTTTGCCAGTATTATAGCAGCATTAATTTCACAGACACGTAATTTAAGATAAAAAATTGTTTGAAGCTATTTTTCCTTTTATAACCCACCCATCTTATTAGCAAGTTTTGTCCTGAGTGGTTCTGACAGCTATAGGGAATTTGCAGGTCTATATGTAAAAAAATATTAACTTTGGAGAATTAGAAATATGAGGCATAGGAAAAAAAAAGGAAATTATAGTGACAATGATGTCATTTTAGGAAATACTGTGTTTCTTGAACATTGTACTGTTCTAATAATATAACTCAAATTATTTAAGTGCTTCTTTAGGCATTCCTGAATGCCCATGTATACTTCAACATGGTCCCGGTTATTTTGTTTTGAGAACGAGGGACCCTGAGGCACAGTGGAACCAGATGCCTAGTAAGACACCAGAAACCAAAGTAGACACCAGAATTAAAATTCAGTTTTCTCAAATTTAGCATGAATGGTGAAATGAATTCAGGTGTGCCTTCAATGTCAGTACATTACTTGACTGGCAGCAGGATGATATTAGCATGGTGGCTGACTACTAATCCATCTTCCAGTTGGCTGGGAAATAAACCTTCCAGGAGGTGCTAAGGTCAGCATTGCCAGGCTGCACTAGAGCTTGAAGGCATGACCAGCCCAGCCATCCAACAGAAGGGTAATACCCTGAAAGCAACATCTTATCCTACCCATGAAGCACTTCCAGAGTCCTCTGCGTCCACTCTTCAAATGTGATGTGTGTGTGTGGTGATTCTCTGCCATTTCATAGGTGACTTTTAGATGAGGAAGACTGGGCACTCCTGAGCTAGACTACTTTGCCTTTTTTATGTACTGATGCTCTATTACAGTATTTCCACATTTGGCAAATTCCAACTACTACAGGGGAAGAAATAGAATTGCCTACAGATGAAAAAAATCAGTTTAAGAAAGCCTTATGTGTGTGAATCTGCACAGAAATATGGTAAATCTGTGCAAAGACTCCTCATTAAGCTTCTCGCTAGAAGCCTTGTAGCTACTAAATTTTAACACATTTGCATGAGAAGCAGCGCTTCTCATTCCATTAAATGTTTAAAACCAGTCCTTTTAATTAAGATAAGCTTTCCTGGATGTCCTTTCTTCCTTGTACTGCTATAAATTACCATCATCCATACCACAGAAAAACAGGAACAGGAATCTATTACAGGCAACATTGTTCCTTTTGTCAAAATCAAGGATTTAACATTAAATGAAAGCAGCAAGTTTTCTACTATACTGTCTGATATATGGCTGACAGGAGAGTGCTTGTTATTACTAGTCATAAAAATCTTTCCTTCATGCTTAGGCTTACGAATCAAAATAAACAATTAAAAACCAAGTTCCTTTGATTATTAAATCAGTTTAGGAAAGAAGTGTGTTCATTTCTCATCCAAATTACAAACACCTAATACATTTGTGAGTCTGTAGTACTGTGACTTCCATGAGGTTTCAAAAAAAATAATAAAAAAATCAAAACAAACAACCCCTTCCCCCCTTCAAACTACATTAAAGATAATGGATAGAATATACGGTAAATCCTGTAGGTGATGTTGTGGACAAGGCCTATAAACTCAAATGCAGAGGCACACGTTATATTTAAAAAAAAAAAAAAAAAAAAAGAAAGATTTATACCATGTAAAATTACCTTTCTCTACTTGAGAGCTAGATTTCCATTGCACCACTGATAATACACATCTGCAAAGTACTGTGATTGTATTTGTTTATATATACAAAACCTATATTTCAGTGTACACAGTGGTTAACTTAGATGAGCAAATACTCAATGAAAGTAAAAAAGCTTTCATAATCCAGAAACTATCAGCATAGCACTAATATGTGGTTTGCTGCACAGAGCCAAAAGTGTATCTATAAATTATGAGAGTATTTTCAGTGACCTTTTGGAAATGTTTTTGGCAGATTATGTCAGGCAAATATATATTTAATGCTAATGACCTTGTACATTTGTATTCCAATATGACACTCAGAGGTGTACCAAAAATTGTTAAAATACTACTTTCAAACATTCAGAGATCATATCTAGCAATATATTCTAGGGTACAGAATCCTATGTATGATAGCTTTTAAAGGCAATGAGATCAACAGTTATAAACAATAGCTGTAGCAAAAATTATTAAACTATTTAATATTGCTTAACTGGCAAAGGAAACAGTATAATTTTACTTAACTTATTGGGCTCGGTTGCTGTATCATTTAGATTCTTAAGTGGAATATCATCATGCAATTACGGAATTTGTGCAGAAAAATATATCCGAGATGTCAGTAACAAAAACAACTCTTCCATTTACTTTAGTGGGAGTTTTGAATGTAAGTTAGAATAATTCAAATGAAAATAATAAAGCCATTTTACTGCAATAGTAACTAAAGTACTTTCTGTATCAGCTTCCTTTTCTAATTTACTCTGAGGAAAATAGATCCTACAAAGTTGGCTAATGCATCAGCCAAGACTGTTTGTAATCTCAGCCTGGGCAAGACATCAGAGAAGTATGTACTTGGCTGTATAACCCACCGCAGTGTTACTACACTCTTTATGTTCTGAGCATTACATCTGTTCTGTAAATAGATTTTGTAAAAGTGAAAGACCGTTTGATACTCCACACCCTGACCATTCAGCTACCTGCCTCTACACTGACCTTGTCCACTTTGGAGACAGGCATAGGAGTTGCACTGTCAGTGTGTAAAACATGTTTTATTCCTCTGTTTCACAAGTTTCACAGCGGACCAATCCATCGATTAGCTTACACAATAAAATGAGCTACCAGCGTCTGTCAGTTTGGTTTTCATAGTGTATTCAAACTGCTTTATATAGCATAGTAGCACACTTTCTGTCAAACAACCAACATTGTGCGCACTTCCATGAAAAAGATGGCCGAAGTGATCAATACACTGGCCCTTGATTTGGTAGTTTCTCTTGCTGCAACCAGTTCAGAAATCTTTAAACGGCAGTTCTAGGAAATACACTACCTATGAGGTTATATAGCCTCCATGTGAAGAGACAAATGACCATCTAATATATATAAATACTCAACTGCATATGCAACTTTTTGCAGAACACAGGAATCAGATTCATTTCCCTACTAATATTTTCCATAACTAGAGGAATAAAAAAATACTTTCCCCCCTAATTTCTGTATTTATATAAAAAAACGTTTCTAACTTTGAATGCTATGGTTTTGCCAAAGCATTACTGGAAATTTTTGCACATGGGCCAGGAAAATTTGCTTTCAAGTCTGTCCGTATATAAACATGCTAAATTAAACTCTGAATTATAGTTTCTGAAAATTTCCAGAAGCAATAGTGAGCAAATACCTAAAACCTATTCAGTACAAACTGGTACTGAAATGTACGATGCATTTCATTGTAAAGATGCACAACTCATTCATAAAAAAGTCACTTTCACAGAAATAATACTAGAAGAAAGCTGTGTTAAGTAATGCCTGTACTATATAGTATTTTAATGTACTGAAGATGTGTGTAGCCTTAACCCTTCCTGTATTAAGGAAAGCCAAATAGATGGCAGAAGAAAAAACAAAACAAAACAAAACCAAAAACCTCACCCAAGGTCACAGATCAGATCACAGCACTGCTGTAAAACCCCCCACTGTTTTCTAGCCAGTCCCACATTATACTTTCACTGGCTCCCACATCATAGCTCAGAGTAACAATAATAGAAGTTTAGACTGATAATAGTATACTAAGTGTCTCGGCAAAGTATGGTAAGATTAGCCTTTTCTGATGTAAGATGCACGGCAATAGGAGGGGATTCATCAGTGTCAGAGCAGAAATTCTTGGCAGGCAGCAGATGACAAGGATTTGACAATCTATAGGGATGCAGAATTTAGGATTTCACTGATGTAATAATTCAGATGGCTAAATACAGATGGATATATATAACTCCAGAAACTAATTAAGACCTAACAGCCTTTCTTACTCTGAAGAATCTCCTTAAAGGCAACAAAAATAAAAGCAATATATCAGGTGCGAACCTTAGTTCCATGGAATTTTGCCATTTATTTTATCAGGAAAAGAATCAGCTGTGAAGTCTTAGTGGGCTTTTAAAACTGGCAAAAACACACAAGATGATCTAGAAATGAGAACGTGAGATCTAGTGCAAGAAAGATTCAAGTTTTTTTTTTTTTAAAAAGCTTACAAAGAAATACACCTCTACTCTAGAAACTTCAGGGGACTGGAGTCAGAATGCCTGGAGAGCCAGGATTCATGCTTCTGCCTTTTCTGATGTTCTTTTCCTAAGAGCATGTTCATGCTCTCATTTCTAAATAGAAAATTCCTAATGAAAATGGATTCAGTGATAAGTTATAAAGTACTAGCACTTTTGTGGTCAAAACAGAAAGATTAGTAGTGTGACACATACAAATAGAGGTTTTTTTCTTAAATATCTTTGAGATAAACATCCACAAAAAAAATAATCCACAAATTAAAAAAGCTCTTGAACTATTTTTTTTTCAGGGAGGAAATAAGTAATGTATTTGGTAGAATACACAATTTAATTTTTCTCAGTTCTCCCTCTGAGACTAAAATCAGGATGAATACTTTCTTAACACCTCTGTAAATGTTAAAAAGTCTGCATTGGTTGCATCTCTTCACTTCCAGCTGCTATAGAATTTTGATTTCCAACCAGAAGGAAAATACAGTATCTGGAGAGGATTTCACAGACTACTACAGAGGAGGACCTGGAAGAAGTTTTGTGCTAGACAAGTTACTTCATTTTTCCTATATAGAAGGTCATCTTCAGATGAACAGATGTTTGGTCATAGCCTGCAACTCACTCTCCTTACAAGCCTAGAAGTGAAATTTTGCTTGTAGAAGACCCAAAGGAGATGTGCAGAATGTGATGAAGAAAACTTTGCAGGCAACCAGGAATGCAACCCACAATTAGAAGAAATACTCAGTGGCACAGCTATACATTGTGCAGAAGAAACCTGTAATGTTTCCGCTTTGTCTGCTGCTCCTCAAGCAAGCTTTAGCAAGCTACGGAGATCAGCACATTGCTGGAGGGTATAAAAAGAACAAGCATAGGTTAAAAGGTGATGGAACACTGTAGGGTATTTTCTGCACATGTATTACAAATTTCCTGTTGAAGGCTATGAGGGAAAGGGAGAAGTCAAAGGAAAAAATATTTTGGTTAGCTCAGCCAGATTTTAAAATAAATAAATGTACCCAACAGTGCTGCCTTGTTTGCATTTTCCTGAGAAGGGCTGTGTGTCCTGTAATCCAAAAATCTCCGAAGGCATGCACAGTGTTATTTCAGCCACAGTAGTCATCTCCAAGGTATTTACCATTTAGTCTATGATGTGAAAGAAATCGGGGTCATATTAGATGCAAAACAAGTCTAGGATTTACAGGCCTTCTGCCACTTTGACAATAGGTGCTCGTGATGCACATGCTTTGTTTTCCTTATTATAACTTTAGTTAATGTAAGAGGTTTTTATCAAGTTATCTAAGCCTCTAGAGTTTCTCAAGCAACCTACAAAGCAAACTTGAACACTGTTTTCATTTCAGTTATTATTTGGAGCATCACAATGATGTTAGTACTCAGGTTTTCATTATAATTACCGGCAATTTGTGTTACCCTTACTAAATATGTTTATAATGCACACCTTGCTTGCACCTTTGAAATAAGCGCCAGTCATGGCAGATTGCCATAAGAAACCTTGCCTATGAAAATATACAAAAAGGAACATAGCCTAACCTGAAACTTGAGGAAAATTTTTTTGATATTCTTTAGGATACACTTGAATGTCAATCTAAACATCCGAGAAAGCATTTTTGCCCTTTAAAAAAAAATTTTTGGTATCATTATTTATATGAGCAACAAAGACCCAGATCAAATCTGTTTGCATGCTTAGGATCTGTCTTTGCATGAGCCAGCCCTATTCGTTTTCACCTCAATCAGGTATGGCAACAACACTCGGAACTACGCTGTGCGAGTTGGAGACTATCACACACTGGTACCAGAAGAGTATGAGGAAGAAATTGGAGTCCAACAGATTGTGATGCATAAGGAGTACAGGCCTGACAGCAGCGACTACGACATTGCGTTGGTGAGGCTACAGGGGCCAGAGGAACAGTGTGCCAGATTCAGTACCCATGTCTTGCCTGCTTGTTTGCCGTTAAGGAGAGAGAGACCACAGAAAACTGCTCCCAACTGTTACATCACTGGATGGGGTGACACAGGTAAAAATGTTTTAATGATTTCTACCCACTGATCTCATTACCTGAGGCTATTTAAAAAAAAAAAAAAAAATCTCAAATACTTAAAATAAGAGAATGCTCGAAATGGAACAGTTTTACTCTTTTCACGTAGGGGGATATTATTTTACTCTTTTCACGTAGGGGGATATTTTCTCTCCTGATCCTTACACAGGAATGACAACACTTTGTTTACTGAGTTTAGTTTGTGTTTGAAAAGTGGTGATGAACCATGTCACTCTAAATCACAGAACCAGCCAGTAAAATGGCCTTATTAAGACTGATAAGCATGAATGAAAAGCTTATTTGTTGCCAGGCACACCCTGCACAGCAGCTTATCACCCCCCGCCTCAGAATATAACTAACAGCTCTAATGTATTTAAGGTTTTTAAGGTAAGTACAATGAATATTTTAGAAAGGTTCTTTCAATTACGCTACTTCAATAGAAAAATGTATAGAAAATATACACATAATAGAATTTCAAGTCACATTTTTAGTCTCTCTTCATACCACTAACATTTTCAATCAGCAGTTAGATTTAAATAAGAGAACACCTTGCCAAAATCTATGAGAGCCACAATGCAACCTGCAATCCAGGCTTCTGGAACAAACTATCTAGTCACTTTTTAGGTTAGTACAAGGACCTCTTCAAAGGTCTTTGTCCTTTAAATGTTTTACAAATTAATAACATGTTTTACTTTCATGTTTTTATGGTGCTGAATACAGTGCAAGACAGCAACCACACTTGAGCCTTTGTTCCACTGACTCATTCAAACTGGCAAGGAGACAAGGTGGCAAGGCCAAATATCAGTTCTTCCTCTTTACATGCATTAATCTGTGTGCACAGATGTCTGGGTCACTGTACTACAATAAAGGAGATGGACTTGTAGGGTGGGGTTTTTTGCTAAAAACAATTGCTAATTCATTGCCTAGCTCTGTCTAGCTTTTTACACAATTCACTGAAAGTTCTGCAATACTGTTTACTTGGGACATCTATTTAAGGAAACATTAACCACTGCAATAATTGGCTTTAATTACGGTAAGAAATCACATCATTGCAGTACTTCAGTTGAAATTTCACATTTGCTATATGAATCATAATTACAAGTACTAAGATTTTACTTTAAAAAAAACTCCAACATTGGCTTTTATTTCCCATGTTTCCAACTGAAAAAGAGGTGCAAGCTATAGAAAAAGGCCAAATGATTTAAATCCTGACATTTTATAAACAGAGCACTGCCTATACGATGCAGGATTCACTACAGATAAAGAAAACCAAAGGACAGGTTCTGGTCACCCCCACAAAATGAAGATTCCTTTTGGTCAGGAGTCCATTAGTACTCTGGTACATAGAAGTTACCAGGATTGTGAAAGATTCAAATGACACTGCCGATCTCTACCAGAATACACTTGGGCTCAGTAACGTTAGCTCCTCAGCTGAGGTGACAAGCAAGCTTGCATGCACTTACAGGGCATAAGCGTGATGGCTGGCTGGCTGCTCTGCTTGGAAGCCAACAGAGGATGCAGGACCTATGAGGCTGAGCTAGACTAGATTTGAACTGGTGACCTAGAAAGGAAGTATTTCTACAGCTTTAGTCTCTACTGCTCAAGACACTCAAAAATAGCTTCCCCATTTAAGTATTGAGGCATATATTCTTGTATAAGACACAAAGTGTGTTTGGAACAAAACAAACTCCAGCCTTGGAAAGATCCAGTGAACACAAGGAGTACAACTACATCTTAAATTTGAAGCTTTTTTTTTTTTTAAAGCATCTATATTCCATATTTACAGTATCAATATAGTATTTTAATATTATATTTAATGGACAGTAGATTTTTTCAGTATTTAGTCTTGTTTTCAGTCATTTTACTTAATGATAAAACAGCCTGAAGGACTGACAGCAAAAATTGGATTAAATCACATTTATGTTTCCAAGACCGATCATCACAATGAGACAATAATTTGGGTCCTCTTTTTAGGAAGGGCTTATTCAAGAACATTACAACAGGCTGCCATCCCCTTACTTCCCAAGAGGGTATGTGAAGAGCGTTACAAAAGAAGATTCACAGGAAGAATGCTCTGTGCTGGAAACATCCAGGAACAGAAACGTGTTGATAGCTGTCAAGGAGACAGTGGCGGACCACTGATGTGTGAACGTCCAGGGGAAAGCTGGGTTGTGTATGGTGTGACCTCCTGGGGCTACGGCTGTGGAGTGAAAGATTCTCCAGGTGTCTACACAAAAGTATCATCTTTTGTACCCTGGATAAAAAGTGTGACCAAACTATGAATGTCTGTAATGAAAATGAAACTTTGTTAATAAAGTTTGAGGCAGGACAACTTGAAGAGCACAGACTGTGCACAGCTGGGGCCCACAGTGGGTGGAAACAGACCCGTTTTCCCAATTCATGTGTTTTTCTTTTTGTTAAATCCAAGCTGTATACACACAACCTTTCCCATCAGGGATTACTATCCAAACAAAATCCCTCCCTGGTAGGGAAGTTTATATATTCCACGAACAAATTACCATGTATCTATGATAGGGAAAAGTGATAGCCAGCTTAGAGTAACATTGGAGCAGGACAGCTGGAGAGTTCACTGTGGGATTCACTGCCCACAGGAAGACTGTAGTAGCGGCAAGCTTCTCTAGAATTAATTACAAAACTCAAAATTAACCTTCAGTCTAGTTTATTTAATCAGCTCTTACTGTTTTCCTATTATTCCTATGATCTTACACTCAGCCTTCTAATTTTGACTCATGTTTCACTAGCTGAGACCATTAGCAGGTTGATTTCTTGGTAAGTCATTCCGAGTGTGTATTAAAAGTTAGAAGGAAGATAATCGTCAATAATCAGATCCCCAGCTATTCTGACAAATGTTCTCACAGCTTAGCGTGCATAAAGTACATTCCCAAGTAAAATAGGTAGTACACTGGAAGCTAGTTTCCCTGCAAACATTCTGCACAGCTGCAAGAGCTAGATCGAAAACAAATGACCTCTTATTTTCTTTCCTTTAGATAAATATCATTTGTCTTCTTTCTGAAATTCATAATTTTTAGGACATACAGCATTTTGAAGAGAATTTACTTTTCCTATTTACCACTGGCTGTCAGTACAGTATCAGACTAACAAACATCCCAATTCTCTCATTGCTAGTTTTGGAGGGGCTTTACTGAAGTCATACTAAGAACCTCTGTCAATCCTACAAGAGAAAGTTTTAAGTATGTGCGATGCAAATACTGGAGATGTTGAGCCAAAACCTGTCTGAAAAGGTCTATAAAGTCTTAAACTACTATTTTCTACAAGATAATATTTAGACAGACAACTCTCTCCTGCTTAGCTGCAACACTGGTTCAGACTGGTCTTACAGGAAAGGTGAGAGTTATATAGTTTTCAGTGATTTCTCAAGTACTGACATATTTTGATTCCATTTAATTCCTTTTACAGATACTGTTCCCCATGCTATGAAAACCTTAATGGTTTATTACAAAAATGCGCTGATAAAAAGTTACTCTAGATGTACAAGACAAATATAAACCAACTTACTATCCTTTCAGAAAGGGCCACCCCATTGAACTTGCCGCACAGAACACAGGAAGTAATCACCATCTTAGTGCAACACTAATGGGTATCTGTTCTGAAATATCTGTGACTAACTACAGTCCAGAGGGAGACAGGAAAGTTCAGTGCTACCTCTGTGATCCCTGTCAAAGGCCATTCTATCTGCAAGTGTGCTCTACATATTACATTAACAAACATGCTTCTTAAAAAGAAACGAAAGCCCTGTGGGCCGTGAAACACTCCAGTGTGACAAGTGTGGCAGACGTGTGTCACCACATGGTGATTGTGCAACCTGTGATTACCAGTGACTGTCTTCCTGTGTTTCGTATCCCCACACGCTCTGCCTACGACAGCGTTGTGTGGCCTTTTGTGAACAAAGTGCGATGCTTGTTTTCATGTTGTAAGTGGGCAATCATTCATTTCTGTATGGTTGTGTCTCTCTGGTGTTGTAACAAATATCCAAGACAACTCAATCTCCATACAAAAGTGGCAATGATATTACAGAAGCCCATGTGATTTAAGACTTGGCCCTTATTTCTCTCTGACCTCAAACTTAAGTTTTCAAGGGTCATGAGTGGTTTAATTATCTTGTTGGAACTGGTGCTGAACTAGTACACAAGGTGCTTTAATATATTTTAGTTTTCTGTAATTCCACACTATTTGAAACAGTGTGAAATGTTTTATTTAAAAACATGTCAAAAATCATAGTACTGTGACCACCTACTGTTAGACCTATTTGAAACACTCTGCTAGTGAACTTTAAAGCCATATAAGTTTTTACTTATACATAGCCCTTTTACTGAAAGGAAAGGGGAAGTAAATCTGTCAAAATGTATCTACTTGTACCATCAAAGCTTTGCTATACCAGACCCATTATTTTGAGACCTGTGGTGAAGTAGGCTATATAGTGCAATACATACGTTGTGTACAGGGGAAATAATTTTCTTTTAGAAGTTGCACCACAGAAATATGATACTGGGGGGGGGTAAATCAAATCTGCATACTAAATGTAGTAAACATTTAGATTTAGTACAGTAGTTCATTAGTTTTGATCTTTTAATAGGATGCTGAAATCTTAAAATGTTGCACTACCATTTTCAGGCAGAGAGCATGCCTTTTCAGTTTCTAACATAAAATGAAATTGTCTTTATGTTATACCATTCTAACTTTTGTTCAGTGAGCCTGATGATGTACATGTATACAATAAAAACTGCCACACTGACTACAACTTTTATACATTAATCCTGTGCATAATGTACAAGCAGATGCTGCAGGAACATCAGCTGGGTAAACTTCATGTGAGCTTTCTTAAGTGAAAAAGGGTGCTCTTGAAAATATTTTCTTCAAAGCGTCTAAGCGTTGGGCCATCTTCTCAGAGATGGAAGTTCATTCTGTACGATGGAATTCCTAGTGCTTTGTGCGCTTTAAGTTAGACCAGTTAGGTTGTCATAAGTAAGTTTATCCTAATCTCTTAAAATGGCTTAATTTTTTTTTGACAGTTGCTGCTCTCCCCTTTGCTCAACTTTTTTAATACATACAAGGTTGTAGAAAAAACCTGCTCTTCAGCCTATGCTAAGGGTTTTTTGTATTAAGGAGGTTGGCCACAGTGTTAAGAGTGGCATAAACTAAGAAAACATCCAGCGCTTCTACTACCAGATTAGATGACCATCTTAAACACTTGTGTAATCTATCCAGGTTCCTCAACGTTGTGAAGATTTAGTTAGATGTAGTCCCCCTGAACTTCCCAAGTTTTTGTCTATTTTCCAAAGAATATACTGACAACTGCATCAGAAACCAGGAACAGAAGCATTACTGCAGCTGACACACAAAGCTCATTTAACACGCGTTTGTCTCAACCCTGAACAACTTCCCGAAGGGCCACTCACCTGTAAATCACAGATAAACCAAGCTCCCATTTTATGATCATTATATGCAGAATATCTATAACCTCAGCTGTCTTACTTCCAGGAACAATCACAGCATTATAATAGCTTACATTTAACAATAAGTCAGTCCTGAATCAATGTTCTCTATCCTCTTCAATGTTACTGCAACTATTCCACACTTTCTTTCACTGTATTCACACACAAGTGCTAGAATATTTGCACTCAAGATTTTAATGCTGTTACGATTTCAGAGTGGCAATCACAGAACATAACATACAAGAGGTCTAAAACAATTAGGCTCAAGTAGCAGATCCCAGTAGAAGAAACCACCCAGAAAACAAGAACTTTGTGGTATCAGGGGGGGAAAAAAAAAAAAAAAAAAAAAAAAGGTTTTGTTTGTGCTCCAAGCTGTTGGGTAACAGCAAATGCAGTTAACTGAGGTAGTAGAGACCAGACCTAGCTCATGCATGTTGGATACCTGCTCACAGGCAGTAGTTCCTATTCCATTTATTTAGCACAGATTGCAGAAACCAACCATGTAACTTCCTGCAAATGCAACGCCAAGCAACCACGAACAGGAAAAAGATGACTTTGAAGAGTCTGGAAAGAAGTATTTACCTTTGTAGCAATGTAAAGGAAAAAAAAAGACTGGGTTGGGTTAAAGTTGGGAGAGGTGTGAGACATTGGATGTAATGCAGATGGAACAGCGTGCAGAAAAATAAGGAGCATCTATAAAGGTAAGAGCCAAGATGCAACAGGAACAGACTGGAAAGACACGACAACAGTTGTTTAGGAATTGCGAATTAAATTTTAAGAGGAATCATGAAAAACAAGCCATCCTAAGCCACATGGAAATGAAAGAGTCACATCTTTTAATACCTCTGTTGTACTCAAGTAATGAGGGAAAGCAGATTGCACTACCCTCTGTGCATGTGACTGGATGCTCATGAAAAGCTTCAGTCATAGAAAAGGCTATGTAACCTCATTGAGCATTCAAAACTAGTAAAAGATACCCCCCTAGCAAACATTATAGTTCATACTTTTGTATTTGACTGTAATTTTATGTTTTTCCTTCTCTTGATTAAAACCCACTGTTTTATCTTTGCAAGTTCTAAATATTTGATGAAGAGCTTAAAACTGAATGCTCACAAATCTAACCTGCAGGCCAGATCAAGCCACCAGGCCAATTTATCCAGCCTGTGATCTGCCTGCCACCACCTGTTCCCAAAAACCTTAAAGCTACTCCCCCATGGATCACAGGACTCATGACTCAGGTGGAAATACCAGTGACCTCATCACTTGGCTCACACAATGGACTAGCAGGACAGCTACACAGTCCTCCTCTAAGTTAGTTTCACACAAAAGGATGCTCTGTTATAGGAGGCAAAGACAGGACAGTCAGTGTTCAAAGGGCAACTTGTTAAAAATTCAGTTATGCACTGAAATTGCTAAAATACATTAAAAAGGCAGCTGCTGTCTGATAAAAGCAAAGGTTAAAATTCAAAGGAACTGGGGTTAACACTTCAGACAACCACATCAATGCAATGCCATACAGTAGCTAAAAGTCAGCACCTGAAAGTCTAAACTTTTCAGTATCGTTTCAGTGACGACAAAAGAAAAATGCTTCTCTCCAGACCCTCATATCATATTCTTGACTTTTGTACTCTGCGTTGTTTTAATGCGTTCCAGATCCCTGGAGAAAGAGATGCCCAACCCCACTCCCGCTTCTTCCTATTTGTTTGCCTGCACCTGGTTTTCTTCTTGGGGTCAAAGCCAGTCACAAAATAATTTATCTAAAAAACTAAGGAAGCCACTTTGCATCAGGGTGTCTGCTGGAACAGCAA